TGGGGGGTGCCGGCCCCGGGAGCGCGACGAATTGGCTGCCCACTACCCAGGTGCATGGTGCATGGGGAGCGCCGGCCTCGGGCGCGCGGCTATGGGGGCGGGGGGAATGCCAGCTTTGGGCGCGCTGCTATGAGGGGGTGTTGGTCCTGGGCATGCGGCTCTGGAGGACACTGGCACCAGGCTTGTTGCAAATGGGCGGCCCTGCCCGTGACCACGCGGCACATAGGGTTGCTGGCCCCAGGCACGTGGCTCATGGGGGTGTGGCATATGCGTGGCCCCACCCTCGGGTGTGCGAGTGTCCCCGCCCTCTGGCTCCTGGCAGCTTCAAATGGTTGGGGACCACTGCTCTATGCCATTATCTAAATTATTTGATTAAGGTATTGAGCAGAACCAGAACCAGCTAAAGAGCCCCACTTGTTATGCCCTTTCAGTATGACTGTGAACCATTGATAAATATTCCCCGGGAACAGTTTCCTTACCAATTTTGCACATCCTTTATAGATGCTCCATTTAGGTTGTATTTTCCTAGTTTGTTTATGAGGTCATGTAAGACAGTATCAGAAGTTTTACTAAATTCAAGGTATATCATTTCTATACTTCCCACCTTTACCACAAGGCTTGTTACCTTGTCAATGAAAACTGTCAGCTTGGTTTCACATGACAACTCTAACAAGGGCTCTGATAGGTGAGCAATCCTTCAGATCTTACCAAGGGAGTTTTCTGTGGTCACAAATCCATCATAACTCTTAGCTCACAACTAGCACACTCATGAAAAGTTCCCTCCTTTATAAAGCTGGATCTTTGATCTGGGAATGTATAATTAATAAATAATGAGTTTCTTCTCAGAGTGTAGCTTCAAAAAAGGCTGTACTTTTGCATAACATGAGGCGTTACATGTGCATATCACTCCCTTTAGAGATTTCTTGGAAATGCACTTAATTTTAAAAGGTCACATTGTTTCAAATATTCCAAAACACTTATGAGGGTTTACGTTAGTCAGGTCTTCTCCAAGACATGTAACCTCATAACAGTATGTAAACATGAAGGTTTAACTTAAATTCCGTAAAGTATGTTCAGGATATTGTGGGAAACTGATATATCTGCTGTAACATTGTATTACCCTAATACAGGGGTGGCCAACCTGTTCGAGACGAAGAGCCAAAATAGTGGTGGATAGAGTGCAAAGATCCACATCCCTGGGGAGAAGGCGGGGGTTGTTGAGCAAAAAAAAAAAAAGCGCTGCACTGGGGGAAAATAAGTGCTAGTATGCCGTCCCAGGGCATACTGTCACAAAAAAAGCACTGAGAGGTGCAAGCTCTGGGAGGAAATTTGGGTGCTGGAAGAAGTAGAGAAGAGGATGCTGGCGCAGGGTGGGAGCTCCAGGCTGGAGAGTTTTGGGGTCAGGTGGAAGGTTGGGGTGCTGAGCAAGCCACAGGCTTGGCTTGTGGCTGTGAGGGTGCAGGAGTTTGGGCTGGGGTACATGAGGGGCTCAGGGCAGGGAGGCTGTGAGGATGATGGGCTCAAAACACAGATTTGCAGTGTGTGGATAGTGCAGGAATGTTGTGGCAGAAGACTGGGGATGTGGGAGTTTGGGGATGTGAGAGGCTCAGGACAGGGGGTTCCAGTGTATGATAGGCTCGGGTTTGGGTTCTGGGGGGGTGCAGGAGTGTTATGATGCTGTGGCCAGATGGGGGGCTTGGTGGCCAGGCTTCATTTTTAAATAAAACATTATGTCAAACACAACATGTTTCAGCATTGTCTTTATAAGAGGGGCAGGGAACCTGTTTTGAGTCAGGGGTCACTGACCCACAGAAAAGTCAGGGCCACACAAGTGAGATGCAAAAATACAACCCCTCCAAAAAAAACCAAGCCTCACTAATGTGGCCCCAACTGTGCTGGTGGGGGCAGGGGACGGTGCTGGGGGGCAGGTGGCAGGGTGCTGGTGGGAGGGTGGGTCTGGCCAGGGCTAGGAGACAGGGAGAGCTCAGCCTGTACCTGGGGATCCTGGGTCTCAGGAAGCATGCAGGCTGCTCTTCCTTTTTCCTCTCCTCCCTTCCCCTGCCATAAACACCTGGCACTCTTCCTAACAC